CAGAGAGAGTTTCGGCTCGGACTTTCCTGTTTTGCGTCTGCACTCTGACAGAGGCGGGGAGTTTTCCTCTGCCCGTCTGGGAGCCTTCTGACGTGCAGAGGGCATCCGCCAGACCTTCACGCTTCCGGCCTGTCCACAGCAAAATGGGATTGCTGAGCGCCGCATTGGCATGGTCATGGACGTCGCTCGTACGTCCATGATGCATGCGGCTGCCCCCCATTTTCTGTGGCCGTTTGCGGTTCAGTACGCCGCGCATCAGCTCAACCTTCAGCCCCGGGTCTCCTTGCCAGAGACTTCCCCCGCCTTGCGGTGGACCGGGAAGGTTGGCGATGCGTCTGCGTTTCGGGTCTAAGGATCTCAGGCGTTTGTCCGCGACTTGTCTGCGGACAAGCTGCCCCCCCGTGCTGTTCCCTGCGTCTTCCTTGGCTTCCCCCCTGACGTGTCTGGGTGGCAGTTTTACCACCCCACCTCGCGCAGTGTTCTGTCCTCCCAGGACGTCACCTTTGACGAGTCGGTGCCTTACTACCGTCTCTTCCCCTACCGCACTGCGCCCCTCCCCCCGCCGCCGCTCTTCCTTGCACCAGGTCCTCCCCCGGTAGACCCCCTCCCCCCTCAGGGTCCTGCCCCGTCAGGTGTGTCCCAGGTAGACGCAGTTGAGCCTGTCGAGGTAGCTGTTGACTCTGGTGCTGCTAGAGGTGCTAAGACTGGGGGTGCTGAGTCTGGGGGTGCAGAGTCTGGGGGTGCTGAGTCTGGGGGTGCTGAGCCTGGGGGTGCTGGGTCTGGGGGTGCGGAGCCTGGAGGTGCGGAGCCTGGGGGTGCCGAGCGTGGGGGCGCTGGGTTTGCTCGTGTGGCTGCCGGCGGTGCTTCGTCGAGGCGGGAGCCACTCTCTCCACAGGAGCTGCGCGAGTGGTTTGCCCGCCGCTGGAGACGTGCTGCTGAGACTAGGGGTGCTGCTGGGGCTACTGGAGCTGGTCATGCTGGAGCTGCTGGCGGTACTAGTGCTGCTGGAGTTGGAGCTGCTGGGGGTGTTGGCGCTGGTGTTTCTACTGGCGCTGGTGCGTCTGGGGGTGCTGCTGAGGCTGCTGGAGCTGACGGTCCTAGTGGAGTTGGTGCTGCTGGAGCTGGAGCTGCTGGGGGTGTTGGCGCTGGCGGTGCTGCTGGCGCTGGTGCTTCTGAGGGTGCTGGAGTTGGCGCTATTGAAGCTGGAGGTGCTGTTGGCGCTGGTGCTGCCGCTTGGGGTACTAATGCCGTCCCTGCTGGTTCTGGAGGCGCTAAGCGGCCGAGGCCGTACTTCGTTCCGCTCCTGGAGCAGGTTCTTGGTCTCCCGCCCTCTCCTGGTCCTGCTCCTTCCTTAGAGTGTCCACAGCCTGTCCAGTCGCAGCCACAGTTACAGCCCGCCTCCCCTCTACCTGCTCCTTCTCCCTACACTGGTCCTACTGGAGGTCTTGCTGAGCGTCGTGAGCCTGCGTCTCGTCCTGCGTCGCCTGTTCGTACTGCTCGCACTAGTGGTCGTACTGTGCGTCCGCGTCCTCCTGCGGTCCCCGGCACACACCAGATGGCGATGCGTCCTTCCACTGCTCCTCTGCGTGTCCCGTTGCCGTCTCCTCCAGAGTCCTCTCTTCCTACTCTTGCTCACCCGGAGTCTGACTCCCTTCGTATTGCTAGTCCTTCGGTCACGCGTCTCCTTGCTACTGTTGTCTTTGACCCTTCCTTTGAGTCCAGTGCTGCGTCTGCCCTAGTTGCTGAGCTTGTCGACTTCGCTGCTCGCTGTCGTCTAGACTACGCTGCTAGTCTCGTTGCTGAGTCTGAGTCTGTCTGTCCTCCGTCTGTCGAGGGTGAGTGTGCTCTTAGCACAGACGTCCTTGAGGACAGGCAGGAGGAGATCCAGTGCTTTGCTGCTGCTTTGCCCCATCTCGTGTCCACGCTGATTGCCCCTGAGGGAGACCCGGATGCACCAGACATCCCGACTCCTCGATCGTACGCTGAGGCGATCGAGGGTCCCTACTCCTCTCAGTGGCGGTCAGCCATGGACGCAGAAATGGCTTCCTGGAAGTCCACAAGCACCTACGTCGACGAGGTTCCCCCACCTGGGGCGAACATCGTCAGTGGCATGTGGATTTTCAGGGTGAAGCGGCCTCCGGGTTCTCCGCCTGTCTTCAAGGCGCGTTACGTGGCTCGAGGCTTCAGTCAGCGGCAGGGAGTTGACTACTTCCAGACCATCTCTCCCACCCCGAAGATGACCACTCTTCGGGTGCTGCTGCACATAGCCGCTCAGCGCGACTACGAGCTTCACTCTCTTGACTTCAGCACATCTTTCCTGTAGGGCAGCCTGCACGAGGAGATCTGGTTGCGACGCCCACCTGGCTTCTCTGGGTCGTTTCCCCCTGGTACCCAGTGGAGCCTCCGGCGGCCAGTCTACGGTCTCCGCCAGGCACCCTGTGAGTGGCACGACACAATGAGGACTATACTTGCGGCTCTTGGGTTTGCTCCCTCTACAGCCGACCCGTCGCTGTTTCTGCGCACCGACACCTCTTTGCCGCCGTTCTACATCCTCGTGTATGTCGACGACTTGGTCTTTGCCACTGCTGACACTGCTAGACTCGCCCACGTGAAGTCCGAGCTACAGAAGAGACACACGTGCACAGACCTGGGTGAACTGCGTAGCTACCTTGGCTTGCAGATCACCCGGGACAGAGCACGCCGCACCATTACCCTGACTCAGTCACACATGGTGCAGCAGGTCCTTCAGCGTTTCGGCTTCACGTACTCCTCGCCTCAGGCCACTCCTCTGTCTACTCGCCACTCGCTCTCAGCTCTGCCTTCGGATGAGTCCGTAGAGCCGAGTGGCCCGTACCCAGAGCTTGTTGGCTGCCTCATGTACCAGATGACCTGCACACAACCTGACCTTGCATACCCTCTTAGCATCTTGGCACGCTATGTTGCTCCTGGGAGACACCGACCAGAGCACATGGCTGCAGCGAAGAGGGTGTTGCGCTACGTGTGCAGTACGTTGGGCATAGGGCTAGTGCTTGGAGGGCGACGTCGAGTGGTCCTCACAGGTCACGCTGACACTTCTTGGGCTGACGACCAGGCTCTGCAGCGGTCGTCACAGGGTTACACCTTCAGCCTTGGCCCTGGCTCTGTTTCGTGGCGGTCTACCCGCTCGTTCTCTGTTCTCAGCTCCAGTTGTGAGGCTGAGATATACGCAGGGGCCATGGCTGCACAGGAGCTACGCTGGCTCACCTACCTGCTGACTAACCTAGGAGAGCCGCCTCGTTCTCCTCCAGTTCTGTACGTAGACAACAAAGCCATGCTGGTCTTGTGTCGGGAGCATAGACTAGAGCACAGAACGAAGCACATTGCTCTCCGCTACTTCCTGGCTCGTGAGCTGCAGCAACGTGGTCAGCTCCGCCTCTCCTACGTGGCCTGTGAGGCCAACACTGCTGATATCTTCACCAAGGCCCTTCCGCCTTGTGATCATCAGCGCTTTTGTACTTTGCTAGGTCTTGTGCCTACCTGGCCTCACTTGCACACTTCTTGATCTTGTTTGTACTGTACTCTTTCTATACCTGCACTTGCTTGTTTACCTTTATATATATGATCTTGCATGTGAACTGGCCTTGTGGCCTTGCTCTTGTGCTCGGACTGTGTGGTGACTTTGTGATCCACCCTGAGCTTGCTTTGCTTCGCTTGACTGGTCTTGTGACCACTTGTTCTCCCCTAATTTGCCTATGGGGGTGTGTCAGAACATTATAGCTTATGCATCTGTGTAGGCTGTAGTGGGGTAGCCCATAAGGGGTACAACCCAATTAGGGTTAGTACTTGTACCCAAATGTTTCATAGTTCAATCATTCTCGTTCTAATTATCACAGCATGTGGATTTTCAGGGTGAAGCGGCCGCCGGGTTCTCCGCCTGTCTTCAAGGCGCGTTACGTGGCTCGAGGCTTCAGTCAGCGGCAGGGAGTTGACTACTTTCAGACCTTCTTGTCAGGCATACATGCTATAGTCTGTGTAGGCTGTAGTGGGGTAGTTCATATAGGGTACAACACTTTAGGGTTTACTACTTGTACTCCTCATTCTGCTGAATGTATCCATTCCTCGTTTCTTATCATGGTATCGAGCAGGTTCCCTAGTGGGAACGCTACCTAGGGCCCACCACGATATTTTTTTTTTCCTGCCCGGAACGCGCTTCGCTCCTGCCCGAGTCGCGCTCTATGTGCCCTCCCTACCTTCGCGCCGCCTTTAGCGGCCCCTCTCACGGCCCCTTACGCCGCCCTTACGGCCCCTCGCGCCGCCCTCTACGCCCCCTCGCGGCGCCCTTACGGCCCCTTTCGGCCCCTCGCGCTGCCCTTACGGCCCCTCACGCCGCCCTTACGGCCCTCGCGCGGCCCCTTCCGGCCCCTCGCGGTGCCCTTACGGCCCCTTACGGCCCCGTCGCCGCCCCGTCTAGGCCCCTTGCGGCCCCTCTACGGCCCCGTCTAGGCCCTTTGCGGCCCCGTCTAGGCCCCTTGCGGCCCCTCTGCGGCCCCGTCTAGGCCCGTTGCGGCCCCTCTGAGGCCCCTCTGCAGCCCCGTCGCCGCCACCTGCGGCCCCGTCGCCGCCACTTGCGGCCGTCGCCGTCACCTGCGGCCCCGTCGCCGCCACCTGCGGCCCCGCCGCCGCCACCTGCCGCCCCGCCGCCGCCACCTGCTGCCCCGTCGCTGTCACTCGCGGCCCCGTCGCCCTCCCCTGGAGGCCCCGTCGCCGCCCTTTGCGACCGCCTCGCCGCCTCTACCGGCCCCGTCACCGCTCCGCCGCCCAGCGACCGAACCGCCGAGCCGCCCAGAAGCCGAGCCGCCCACCGGCCAAGCCGCCGAGCCGCCCAGCAGCCGAGCCGCCCAGCAGCCGAGCCGCCGAGCCGCCGAGCCGCCCTACTGTCGAGCCGCTGCTGTTCCTACCGGTGCGCCCCGACCCTACTTACTCGGACTGGTGAGATCACTCCCTACTAGGCCATTGCAGTCATGGCTACCCCCAGTGTCCTTACATTTGATGCTGAGGGCCGTGCCGTTGATTTCGAGGTCTGGGTCGATGACCTCCAGCTGTTTCTCCAGTACGATAGGGCAGACGGACTCTCTCTGTTCGATCTCACCTCTAGTGTCTCTCCCGCCCCGCCTGCTACTGCTGACAGCACTGTTCGCTCACAGTGGGCCACACGCGATGCTGCTGCTCGCCTTGCTGTGCGTCGCCACTTACCAATCGCTGAGCGTGCGCACTTTAGCTAGTACAAGAGTGCTAAGACCTTGTACGACGCTGTAGTTGCACGCTACTCCTCCCCTGCCACTGCTGCTCTTAGCCGCCTCATGCTGCCGTACCTGTTACCTGACCTTGCTACCTTTCCCAGAGTCGTTGACCTCATTACTCACCTTCGCACTAGTGACATTCGCTACCGCGCTGCGCTTCCTGCTGAGTTCTGTGCCAAGAACCCCCCCCCCCATGTACATCACCCTCTACTACATAGTCACCCGCCTCCCTGACTCCCTTCGCTTAGTCAGGGACCACTTCCTCTCAGTTTGCCCCACCACTCTCACCGTCGATCTCCTCGAGGAGCACTTCCTAGCAGCAGAGAAGAGCATTGTCGCTGTAGGAGCCTCTCGTGGTGACCCTCGCACCCCCGTCTTTGAGGGGTGTTCACCCTCCCCCCTCTTGCCCTCTGTTGCTTCTGCTGCTGCGGCCGACCTCGTTGGTTTCGAGTCGGTCGGCGCGGCGTCTGCCCCGGGCGGGAGACGCCGCACCGGCAAGGGCAAGGGGGGCAAGGGAGCTGGAGGGGCTAGCGGGGGTGGTGGAGGTGGTGGTGGAGGCAGTGGAGGGGGTGGGGGTGGTGGTGGGAGTGGTGGGGGGGGTGGCGGGGGTGGCGGCGGAGGTGGCAGCAGTGGAGGCGGAGGAGGCGGCGGTGGTGGTAGAGGGAGCGGAGGCGGCGGAGGTGGCGGAGGCGGCGGAGGCGGCGGCGGCGGCGGCGGCGGCGGTGGAGCTGGTCGCGACTCTGCGCAGAGGAGTGGGTCCGGTGGTGGTCCGCGCCAGCAGCAGCAGCGCGGTCGTGAGACCTTGTCCCCTCAGCAGCTTCGTGAGTGGTACGCTGCGCGTCAGCGCGGTGGGGGTACTGGTCCCTGCACTTACGTCCTCCGTACCGGCGACCACGCTGGTGAGCAGTGCGGGGGCCCGCACTCCACCCAGCGCGGCTTCGGCCGCCTGACGGACGCATGGCGTCACCAGTTCCCTGAGGCGTCAGAGATCCCTCGCTGGGGAGATCTGTCTAGGGCGGGGGTTGCCATCTTTGATCTTGACTATGATGCTATCCTTGCTGCCATGTATGCTGTGACTACTAGTGCTGAGGGTGACTGTTACCTGTGTGTACCGCCTGACCCGGGCGTTGAGGCTACTGCTCTAGGTGCTGGTGAGGCTGCTGCTCTAGGTGCTAGTGCGTCTGGTGCCCCTAGTGCTAGTGCGTCTGCTGCCCCAGGTGCGGGTGAGTCTGCTCTCTCAGGTACTACGTCGGCTCAGGCCTTACACACCTTCACCCTTGACTCGGGTGCGTCCCGCTCTTTCTTTCGAGACATCACCACACTTACGCTTCTTAGTCGGCCGGTTGCAGTCTCCCTGGCGGACCCCTGTGAGGGTCCTGTCTTTGCTAGCTTCTCCACTGTCTTACCGTGCTCGGCAGCCCCCTCTGGCACCCTGTCAGGTCTCTACCTCCCCTCGTTCTCTACGAAATTGGTGAGTGGAGCGGACCTACAGGATAGGGGGGTTGACCAGATCACTCCTACGAGTCAGCGGGTGACCCAATGCACGTGTGCTCGGACAGGCCGACACTTGGCCACGTTCACCCGTCGGCCAAGGTTGAGCCTGTACACCCTTACTACTGAGTCTCCTCCGGCTGCTGAGTCTGGCCAGGTAGCTGCGTCGAGTCAGGTGTTTGCTGCAGCGTCCAGGTCTGGTCCTGAGTCTGCTCCCTGCTCGTGTCGTCTCCTGTCCCACCAGACTCTCCTTTGGCACCACCGCCTTGGTCACCCCTCCCTGCCTCGTCTCCGAGGCATGGCCTCCCGTGTCCTTGTCTCTGGTCTCCCCCGGTCTCTCCCTCCCCTGCCTCTGGGGCTTGGCCCTTCCTGCGTCCCCTGCGTTGAGGGGCGACAGCGCGCCGCCCCTCACTCCTCCGAGTTTCCTCCGAGAGAGGCTCCGTTGCAGACTCTTCATATGGACGTGTGGGGCCCCGCCCGCGTCCGTGGCCAGGGGCACGAGCGTTACTTCCTGTCGGTGGTTGACTACTACTCGCGTTACACCACGGTCTTCCCCTTGCGCAGCAAGGGCGACGTCACTGAGGTGTTGATCGACTGGATCCGCGCAGCTCGTCTCCAGCTCAGAGAGAGTTTCGGCTCGGACTTTCCTGTTTTGCGTCTGCACTCTGACAGAGGCGGGGAGTTTTCCTCTGCCCGTCTGGGAGCCTTCTGTCGAGCACAAGGCATCCGCTAGACCTTCACGCTTCCGGCCTCTCCACAGCAAAATGGGATTGCTGAGTGCCGCATTGGCATGGTCATGGACGTCGCTCGTACGTCCATGATCCATGCGGCCGCCCCCCATTTTCGGTGGCCGTTTGCGGCTCACTACGCGGCGCATCAGTTCAACCTTCAACCCCGGGTCTTCTTACCAGAGACCTCCCCCACCCTGCGGTGGACGGGGAAGGTTGGCGATGCGTCTGCGTTTCGGGTCTGGGGATCTCGGGCGTTTGTCCGCGACTTGTTTGCGGACAAGCTGTCCCCCCGTGCTGTTCCCTGCGTCTTCCTTGGCTTCCCCCCTGATGCGCCTAGTTGGCAGTTTTACCACCCCACCTCGCGCCGTGTTCTGTCCTCCAAGGACGTCACCTTTGACGAGTCGGTGCCTTACTACCGTCTCTTCCCCTACCGCGCTGCGCCCCTTCCCCCGTCGCCGCTCTTCCTTGTGCCAGGTCCTCCCCCGGTAGACCCCCTCCCCCCCTCAGGGTCCTGCCCCGTCAGGTGTGTCCCACGTAGACGCAGTCGAGCCTGTCGAGGTAGCGGTTGACTCTGGTGCTGCTAGAGGTGCTGAGCCTGCGGGTGCCGGGTCTGGAGGTACTGAGCCTAGGGGTGCTGAGCCTGGGGGTGCTGAGTCTGGGGAGGCTGAGCCTGGGGGTGCTGAGTTTGGAGGTGCTGAGCCTGAGGGTGCTGAGTCTGGAGGTGCTGAGCCTGGGGGTGCTGAGCCTGGGGGTGCGGAGCCTGGGGATGCTGGGTCTGCTCGTGTGGCCTCTCGGGATGCTTCGTCTTCGAGCGACTCTCTCCGCAGGAGCTACGCGAGTGGTTTGGCTGCCGCTGGAGCCGTGCTGCTGGAGCTGGAGTTTCTACTGTTGCCACTAGTCTTGGAGGTGCTCGTACTGGTGGTACTGGTGCTACTAGGTCTGGGGGTGCTGCTGGGGCTGCTGGAGTTAGTTCTGCTGGTTGTTCTGCTGGAGCTGCTAGTGGTCCTGGAGCTGACGGTCCTGCTGGAGGTGGTGCTGCTGGAGTTGGAGCTGTTGGAGCGGCTGGAGCAGGAGCTGTTGGGGGTGTTGGCGCTGGTGGTGCTACTGGCGCTGGTGCTTTTGAGGGTGCTGGAGTTGGCGCTGTTGGAGCTGGAGGTGCTGCTGGTGCTAGTATTGCCACTCGGGGTACTGGTGCTGTCCCTGCTGGTTCTAGAGACGCTGCGCGGCCGAGGCCGTACTTCGGTCCCCTTCTTGAGAAGGTTCTTCGTCTCCCACCCTCTATTGGTGCTGCTCCTTCCTTAGAGTGTCCACAGCCTGTCCAGTCGCAGTCACAGTTACAGCCTGCCTCCCCCCTGCCTGCTCCTTCTCCCTACACTGGTCCTACTGGAGGTCTTGATGAGCGTCGTGAGCCTGCGTCTCGTCCTGCGTCGCCTGTTCGTGCTGCTCGCACCAGTCGTCGTGCTCCGCGTCCGCGTCCTCCTGCGGTCCCACGCACACACCAGATGGCATTGCGTCCTTCCACTGCTCCTCTGCGTGTCCCGTTGCCGTCTCCTCCAGAGTCCTCTCTTCCTGTTCTTGCTGACCTGGAGTCTGACTCTCTTCGTGCTGCCAGTCCTACTGTCACGCGTCTCCTGGCTACTGTTGTCACTGACCCTTCCTTTGAGTCCACTGCTGCGTCGGCCCTAGTTGCTGAGCTTGTCGACTTTGCTGCTCGCTGTCGTCTAGACTACGCTACTAGTCTTGTTGCTGAGTCTGAGTCTGTCTGTCCTCCGTCCGTCGGGGGTGAGTGTGCTCTTAGCACGGACGTCCTTGAGGACAGGCAGGAGGAGTTCCAGTGTTTTGCTGCTGCTTTGCCTCATCTCGTGTCCACGCTGATTTCCCCTGAGGGAGACCCGGATGCACCAGACATCCTGACTCCTCGATCGTACGCTCAGGCGATCGAGGGTCCCTACTCCTCACAGTGGCAGTCAGCCATGAACGCAGAGATGGCTTCCTGGAAGTCCACAGGCACCTACGTCGACGAGGTTCCCCCATCTTGGGCGAACATCGTTAGTGGCATGTGGATTTTCAGGGTGAAGCGGCCGCCGGGTTCTCCGCCTGTCTTCAAGGCGCGTTACGTGGCTCGAGGCTTCAGTCAGCGGCAGGGAGTTGACTACTTTCAGACCTTCTCTCCCACCCCGAAGATGACCACTCTTCAGGTGCTGCTGCACATAGCCGCTCAGCGCGACTACGAGCTTCACTCTCTTGACTTCAGCACAGCTTTCCTGCAGGGCAGCCTGCACGAGGAGATCTGGCTGCGCCGCCCACCTGGCTTCACTGGGTCGTTTCCTCCTGGTACACAGTGGAGCCTCCGGCGGCCAGTCTACGATCTCCGCCTGGCGCCACGTGAGTGGCACGACACACTGAGGACTACACTTGCGGCTCTTGGGTTTGCTCCTTCTACTACGGACCCGTCGTTGTTTCTGCGCACCGACACCTCTTTGCCGCCGTTCTACATCCTCGTGTACGTCGACGACTTGGTCTTTGCCACTACTGACACTGCTGGACTAGCCCACGTGAAGTCCGAGCTACAGAAGAGACACACGTGCACAGACCTGGGTGAACTGCGCAGCTACCTTGGCTTGCAGATCACCCGGGACAGAGCACAGCGCACCATTACCCTGACTCAGTCACACATGGTGCAGCAGGTCCTTCAGCGCTTCGACTTCACGTACTCCTTGCCTCAGGCCACTCCTCTGTCTACTCGCCACTCGCTCTAAGCTCTGCCTTCTGATGAGTCCATAGAGCCGAGTGACCCGTACCCAGAGCTTGTTGGCTGCCTCATGTACCTGATGACCTGCACACAACCTGACCTTGCATACCCTCTTAGCATCTTGGCACGCTATGTTGCTCCTGGGAGACACCGACCAGAGCACATGGCTGCAGCGAAGAGGGTGTTGCGCTACTTGTGCTGTACGTTGGGCATGGGGCTAGTGCTTGGAGGGCGACGTTCAGTGGTCCTCACAAGTCACGTAGACGCTTCTTGGGCTGACGACCAGGCTACGCAGCGGTCGTCACAGGGTTACACCTTCAGCCTTGGTTCCGGCTCTGTTTCGTGGCGGTCTACCCGCTCGTCTTCTGTTCTCGGCTCCAGCTGTGAGGCTGAGATCTACGCGTGGGCCATGGCTGCACAGGAGCTACGCTGGCTCACCTACCTGCTAACTGACCTAGGAGAGCCGCCTCGTTCTCCTCCACTTCTGTACGTAGACAACAAGGCCATGCTGGCCTTGTGTCGGGAGCACAGACTGGAGCACAGAACGAAGCACATTGCTCTTCGCTACTTCCTTGCTTGTGAGCTGCAGCAGCGTGGTCAGCTGCGCCTTGCTTACGTGGCCTCTGAGGCCAACACTGCTGATATCTTTACCAAGGCACTTCCGCCTTGTGATCATCAGCGCTTCTGTACGATGCTAGGTCATGTGCCTACTTGGCCTCACTTGCTCACTTCTTGACCTTGCTTGTACTGTGATCTTTCTATACCTGCACTTGCTTGTTTACCTTTACATATGATCTTGCATGTGAACTGGCCTTCTAGCCTTGAACTTGTGCTTGGAATGTGTGGTGACGTTGTGATCCACCCTAAGCTTGCTTTGCTTTGCTTGAGTGGTCTTGTGACCCCTTGTTCTCCCCCACTTTGCCTATAGGGGTGTGTCAAACTCATATGCTATAGTCTGTGTAGGCTGTAGTGGGGTAGACAATATGGGGTACAACTCTTTTAGGTTTTCCTAGTCGTACCCACCTGCTTGCTAGGGTGCGAAATGTGCCATTTTCGTCAGTCGATCGACGACGACCAGGATCGCGTCGTTCCCACTCGCCCCGGCTGGTAACCCCGTGACGAATTCAATCGTCACCTGCTGCCAAGCACGCTCTGGGGATGGTATCGGCTGCAACTGTCCCGCCGGCCGCTGTCGTAATGATTTCATGAGCTGACAAGTGGGACACGATGCCACGTGTCGTTGTACGTCGGTCAACATTTCGGGCCAGTAATAATTGTCAGAGGTCCACTGGTGATCCCCGATCGATCCTAGGGAAGGGTTACAGGCACATTTGCCTGGGGGGTTATGGGCGCACTGACCCGCTACTGAAACAAGCCCTTTTATCCCAATGGTCTAGTGGTTGGGATTCTGAGATGGTATCCAGAGCGAAGGTCTCGGGTTCGAATCCCGGTGTATGCACTTCGGGCATCCCAGTGCGGGGGGGTGTCAGAGGTCCACTGGTGATCCCCGATCGATCCTAGGGAAGGGTTACAGGCACATTTGCCTGGGGGGTTATGGGCGCACTGACCCGCTACTGAAACAAGCCCTTTTATCCCAATGGTCTAGTGGTTGGGATTCTGAGAATAATAGCGTTCCAGCTGCTGCCGTGTTTTTTCTACTCCGAAATGCCCCGAGGTAACTCCGTCGTGTGCCTCCTGTAACAGTAATTCCTGTAGCAGTGTATGCTCAGTCACCCAAATGCGGTCAATCCCGGTTTTTACGTAACAGACTCCCTTTGCTGCTGCGAACTGCTACGAATTTCCTCCTGTGAAGAATGGATCCGTTTGGTACCCGTGGGTGAATAGGCCTGTCAGTAGGTGGCTTCTCTGGGCGATTAGTATTGCGTGGATATGGGCAGTGTCAAACTCATATAATATAGCTTGTGTAGGCTATAGTGGGGTAGACACTATGGGGTACAGTTTCCTAGGGTTTCCTACTTGTACCCAACCTTTTGCTAGTTCATTCATTCCTCATTCTTCACATGGTATAGAGCAGGTTCCCTAGTGGGAACGCTTCCTTGGGCCCACCATTGAAAACTTCCTTTCAGACCGGAGCGCCAGTCGCTCCTGCCCGAGGCGCGCCTTTTTGCCACCCTTTCCACACCCCTAGTGGCCCCTAGCGGCCTCGTCGCCGCCCCTCACGCGGCCCCATTACCACCCCTACGCGGCCCCGTCGCCGCCCTTAGCGGCCCCGTCGCCGCCCCTAGCGGCCCCGTCGCCGCCTCTCACCCTACGCGGCCCCGTCGCCGCCCCTTCGCGGCCCCGTCGCCGCCCTTAGTGGCCCCGTCGCCGCCCCTAGCGGCCCCGTCTTCGCCTCTCACCCTACGCGGCCCCGTCGCCGCCCCTACGCGGCCCCGTCGCCGCCCCTAGCGGCCACGTCGCCGCCCCTATCGGCCCCGTCGCCGCCTCTCAGCCTACGCGGCCCCGTCGCCGCCCATACGCGGCCCCGTCGCCGCCCCTAGCGGCCCCGTCGCCGCCCCTACCGGCCCCGTCGCTGACCCTAAGCGGCCCCGTTGCCGCCCCTACGCGGCCCTGTCGCCGACTCTAGGCGGCCCTGTCGCCGCCACTACACGGCCCCGTCGCTGTCCCTAACGGCCCCAACGCCGCCCCTACCGAGCAGCAGAGCCGCCGAGCCGCCCAGCACCCGAGCCGGCGAGCCGCCGAGCAGCCGAGCCGCCGAGCCACCCAGCAGCCGAGCCGCCGAGCCGCCCAGCAGCCGAGCCGCCGAGCCGCCCAGCAGCCGAGCCGCTGAGCCGCCCAGCAGCCGAGCTGCCGAGC